AGGCGAGCGCTCTACCACTTGAGCTACAGTGCCACTTCTGGTTTTCTGGTGGTTTATTGGAGATAGGAGTCTCACGGTCTTTCCTGCCCGGGCTGGCTTTGAACTGCGATCCTCAGATCTCAGCCTCCTGAGTAGCTAGGATTACAGGCGTGAGCCACCAGCGCCCGGCTTGAGCTACAGTTCTGCTTCTGGCTTTTGATAGTTAATTGAAGATAAAAGTCTGCAGGATTTTCCTGCCTGGTCTGGCTTCAGAACCTTGATCCTCAGATACTCAGCCTCCTGGGTAGCTACCATTACAGTTGTGAGCCAATAGCTCCTGGCTTTACTTTTTGCAATTCTGTCATCTCTTCATTCAAAGAAAACTGTCTCTTTTAGCCTCATTTGACTTAAAGGATTCTCTGTAGCCTGTAAAATAATGCATTTATCAACACTGGTTGGACCATAACCAGCTAAGAGAAGAAACTAAATGGTAGTACTGCTCTTAAAGGGGAAATTAAGATGGATGATGAGCCTGACATTAAGAAACACTCTCAATAGGTGACATTGTTAAAAAAGAAATGTACTCTTTATCTGATTTATGTAACTAACCCTGTTGTACATCATGTTTACAATAACAGTTATTAAATGCCTTTAAAAAATAAAGGAGGGGAAGAATTAACTAAGCCAAAGCTAAGAGTTTAGCTCAGGTGATAGAGCACTTGCCTAGCAAGTACAAGGCCCTGAGTTCAAACCCTTGTACCATCCAAAAAATCAACCAGTTGCAAAATTTAAATTCATAGTAAACTCAATATCAAAAAAGAAAAACTCCCTTTACAGAGGGCTTGAGACTCTTCATGCACTTTTGCAAAAAGGCTTTTCTTGCTGAGGAAGTAGCCCTTATGTGGGTTGCTTCTCCCTCACTTTCCTTCCCCCTAACCTCCTCACCTCCCCCTCCTCTTCTCTCCCATTCTCTTTCCATTCCCCTTTCCTCTCTTACCCTCACCCCTTCTACTCTCACCCTCCTTCCTATACTGGGCTTGAACTAGCACTTGGGTACTGTCAGCTTTTTCAGTTTCACAGACTCTTGCCATGGTTGGCTTCGAACCACAACCCTCAGATCTTAGCCTCCTGAGTAGCTATGATTGCAGGTTGTTTTTCTTAATGCCTCTTGTGCTTTTGCTTGGCTTACTTGCCCTGCTTGTTGCTCTACCATTTGAGCCAGGCATTCAGTTAACAAGCAACTTTTGTGGACTGACTTTAAATCAAGATCTCTCAGTCTCAGCCACCAGAATAACTAGGATTACAGGCATGAACTAATAGCACTAGGCCAAGATACGCTAAAGTTTTGGAACCTTCTATCAGAGAGAAATCTCATAGCTACATCAAGCAAGAAGAGTATCTGATGACTGCATATTTCCATAATTTAGGAATCATGTTTGCTTGCTTTTTAAATTTTAACAAAAAGAAAAACGTTCTTTGATGAACCGAAGGAGATGAGAAATTTTTTTGGGGGGGGAGGGGATCTGGTCGTGGGCCTGAACTCTGGGCCTGGGCACTGTCCCTCAGCTCTTCAGCTCAAGGCTAGCACTCTACCAGTTGAGCCACAGCGCCACTTCCGGCTTTTTTTCTTTTTGCTTATGTGGTGCTGAGGAATTGAACCCAGGGCCTCAGGCATGCAAGGCAAACGCTCTGCCACTGAGCCACCTCCCTAGCCCCTGATCCAAGGATTTCGATTCAAAGCCAGCCCAGGCAGGAAAGTCCATGAGACTCTTATCACCAATTAACCTACAGAAAATTAGAAGTGGCAAAATGGCTCAAAGTAGTAGAGCACCAGCCTTGAGGAAAAGAGCTCAGGGATAGTGCCCAGGCCCTGAGTTCAAGCCCCATGACTGGCAAAAAAAATGAAAGTTTTACAGAAAAGTAAAGCTTTTAGAAAATCCTTTATGTAGAATTTCACTTATTCATTCTTAAAAAAAAATTGTTACTGAGATAAGAGAGTTAATAGGTATATATAAAATAAAAATAATTCTGTAGGTTGTATATTTAGTCAGTTCATCAGGCTTTCTTAGATATTTTGATTACAATACATCCTATGCTGATATAAACACTTTTCTTTTAAGGTGGTGATATGTCTAAGAATGTGAGTCAATCACAGATGGCAAAATTGAATCAACAAATGGCCAAAATGATGGATCCTAGAGTTCTTCATCACATGGGTAAATGCAATCATTAAACAGTGTGTTTTTAAAAAGTTCAAATATTATTAGGCAAAAATAAATATTTCAATTTCTGCTTACTAATTGTTTTCGTGTACTTTCCCTCTAGGTGGTATGGCAGGACTACAGTCAATGATGAGGCAGTTTCAACAGGGTGCTGCTGGCAATATGAAAGGCATGATGGGATTCAATAATATGTAAAGAAGATGCCTTAATATAAACTGACTTGGTTGATTACATTATTTGCTGAGACCTCAGAGTTTCCCTCCTTTTTGAAAATGGGGGGAAAAAGTATTTTTCTTGCCTGCCTTGCCCTCTTTCTTTTCATCATTTTTTCCTCAGCTTTTCTTTTTCCTTTCTTCCTTCTTCCTTCCTTTTTGATATAAGGAAGGAATATATGATTTTTGTGGAAATCCTTACATTTCTGCTCTAAGTTCTCTTTAGTTTTCACCATCATAACACTTTTGAGTTAAACAAATCATGATGTAAAATTTTAGTACTTAAAGGTTTTTAATTGTCACAAAGGCCAAGCATTACATTTGTAAACAGTCCTGGTCAGTAAATCACATTATAATGTCTCAATAAAAGTGCTGTAAAATAAACTTCAAACTGGTTATAAGTTAAGGAGATGTTAACTTTCTTAATGGCTTAAAATGATCAATGTATCACACACAAAAAAGAAAAAGCCAATAAATATGTTTTATAAAACCTTGCCCCGAAACACACCTTTAATGAGAAATATGTTAAAACAATAGCAACTTTTATGATAATTAAAATAAATTTGTCATTGAAAATCTTAGTTGTAACTGGGAATGTGGCTTAGTGGTAGAGTGCTTGCTTAACATGCATGAAGACCTGGGTTCGATTCCTCAGAACTACAAAATAGAAAAGGCTGGGAGTAGCACTGTGGCTCAAGCCTTGAGCACAAAGAGGCTTAAGGACAGTGTCCAGGCCCTGAGTTCAAGCCCCAGGACTAGCAAAAAAACAAATCTTAGTTTTGACAATTAAATTGAAATTGAGAATTTGACTGTGCTCTCCCATATATGATGTTTGTTTGGTATACAATCTGAAGCATATTTTTGAAGCCTTAATAGTCTTCCATAATTTCAAAAGCCATCTTTATGTTTCTTACATACTGTTTGAGAAATTGATAAAATAATTCCAAATATGACACTTTTTTTTTGGTCAGTTGAGGGGCTTGAACTCTGGTCCTGGGCGCTGTCCCTCAGCTCTTCAGCTCAAGATGAGCCTCTACTACTTGAGCCACAACACAACTTCTCATTTTCTGGTGGTTTACTGGAGATAGTCTCTTGGACTCTCTGCCTAGTCTGGCTTTGAACTGTGATCCTCAGATCTTAGCCTCCTGAGTAGATAGGATTACAGGCGTAAGTCATGGGTGCCCGGCTAATTTTTTTTTAATTGTCGGTCATGGGGCTTGAACTTGGGGCCTGGATGCTGTCCTTCAGCTCTTTGCTCAAAACTAGAAGCACTTACTGGGAAGGTGGCTCGGTGGTAGAGTGCTTGCCTTGCATGCTCAAGGCCCTGGGTTCGATTCCTCAGCACCACATAAGCAAAAAGAAAAAAGCCAGAAGTGGTGCTGTGGCTCAAGTGGTAGAGTGCTAG